GCTGGCCCCTGAAAGCGGGAGTGATGGGAAAGTCAGTGCCCTGTGGTGTGGTGGAAAGTCTGCGCATCAGGTGAGCTTGCAGGTTGAAGACATAGTCAGGTAGGTCACCGTGACAGGAAAAGCTCCATTTTTGCATGTTTGAACCAGGTTGGCACAGGCGGAAAAGAGCTTGGCGCCTGCGACTCAGAAAGCGCAGCTGATCATGAGATCAGATGAAAACAGTGAAAACGGTCTTGAAGAGGGTGAAGATATGTCGTCTTTGTCATGAGAATCCAACGCCCAACGCGAAACGACGTCTATGGGCCACGTGAGTAGTGCGTTCAGTCCATGGGTCCATTGGGACATCCAGCCGATTCAGTTTTGCTTCAGCGCATTCGTTGGGTGTAGCAGCTGTGTGCTTCTTCAAAGTGGATTGCAAACACCCTTGATATATGGGGGATTGGGGGCACCCCACTCAAATCAAACATGTGGAAAAGGTTAACCTTGATTTTCCACTGAAACTTGAGGGGGTGAGCAATGCACTGCAGCTTTTGCTATCAGGATGCTGCGATCTAGAACTATCAGGCACGGGGAAGACATCTCTGACATCTCTTCTTTGAGGATGGTTCGCAGACGGGGTCCTACGGAATGGTTGCACCCTGGAAGACGATCCCATGGACCCTGAAAACCACTGGTTGGTGGAGGAAAACACTCGGACCCAGGGGGCCAGGACGTCAGGGTCTATGTCGAGTTTTCGGGAGTGTATATACCTGGATGTGGTTTCAAACAATTTCAAACAGATTTTGACATAAGACATCATCAACTATTAGTATTATTGGGTCAACGAGCTGACGGGTGTGTGACACGCCGTCCTGTTATTAACTGGTTGGGGTAGAAGCTGATTTTTAGGCTTCATCCCATGCTTGTTCAGTTGGTTCTCGATGTGTTCAACGAAGACAGTCCGACATTCCCACATACCTACACCGACATGCAGACAGTCTCTCCATCCAACCATGAAGTCAGTGGAACACTCCCGGAGACCGGTGTCCAAAGGACAGTCCACTCTGACAGTCCCCCCTCCCGGAGACTCCGCCGGAGACCGGTGTCAGGTCGCGCTGAGGCGCCACATCCTCCGTGGTTGGGGTGGTCGCGGTGGCCGAGCTTCGACTTCGCGAGGAAGTCGAAGTCAGAGTCTGGGTGTTTGTCTCAAGGGAGTGGATGCAAAGAAGTCCAAGTCTGACCTGGAAACCTCAAGAGCTTGGGGTGCAATCTCAAGGAGAGGCTGTTAGATCTTTTTAGAAAATGGAGAGGGAAGAAGAATCTCTCAAGCTCCTAGAAGGAGTTGGAAGGTTCCTACATGCCTTTGAGACAAACCCCGAGATGCCTTTTTGGAGCCTCGCCAATGTGACGGCTCCGCGTCGCGTGATGTAGTCGTGCCCTTTTTTGGGGGGGTCAGGAACTCACAGGGTGTGAGACATGAAGTGGAGGCAGAACCAGGAATGTGGAATGCAGCGCCAGAAAAGGCGGAGCTGAGATGTGAAGGGGGGAGCTGGGGCTAGCTGGGCTAGCCGACCACGGTTTCCAAGTTCTCAAGGGAAACTGATTCCAAAAGATATACTGGACTAGAAATTTATTTAACCTCCCTCCAGCAGTCGTTTGGTGGAAGATGTCCTGCAGGGTGCAGAGTGAAGAGCAAACAAATCAGAAGTCAGACACTGTCATGCCACGCTCCAGACAATCAAGCACCGTCCAAGAAACAAAAACTAGCCAAACCAGGCAAACCAACCGCCTGCAATAGAAGTCAGCAACCCAACAGTGCTTGAAGTTGCGCCACAAAATATGTGTAAAAAAAAGACAGGACCAACTCCATGAACCGCCACTAGTACAGCCACTCTATGCCACTTCCAGCAGTACGGAAGGCAAGAGAATGGGCGGGGCGCTCCACAGCGAGCTTCGAGATGAGAGGGATCAATCAGGCAAACAAGAGGTTCACTCATTGGAAGATGCTATCCGATCCTTATCCATGTTCAGCACAATGCATGTTGAGGCCCATCTGAACTGGGACTGTCCTGCCATCACTAGACAGAATCAAGCACTGAGGTGTGTGTGTGTGTGTTTGTGTGATTCTGAAAGAGTTTTGCACTTTCTGCATCAACAGCTGAGCTCTCTTCTACATGTTTGGCATCGCTAAGCAACACAGGAGTCCAACGCACACTCCAGCCAGAATGACCAATTGTGAGCAGATGCAGTTGATGGCACCTGCTCCACCAAGCGTCGTGAGCCATTTCAGGACATAGCAGGCCACTAAGAGATTTGACCGCCTGACCAGCAAATTTATGGATAGTATTGCCCGGTGGCCAGATCGATTTTCATGACATGATCTTAGGTGATCCCCTTCCTTGGCCCCAGCTAGAAAATGGTAAGACCTTAGTAAGACCAAATGAATCTGCGCTGACTGACCCGGCAATTGTCACGTCCTTTTGCCCACTTAGTATACACTCAGTATACGCGCAACGATGCAGTTATATGGTCTAGCCTAGCCCACCTTCTGCGTTGTGAATGGTGGAGGATGGCATGGGATGATCGCCTGACACTGACCCGGTCAGAAGAAGAACTGAGTAGGTTCGGAACCACGGGGCGAGCCGCCCTGTCGGAACCCCAAACATCATAGGTGTCTATATGTGCCCCCAAATGGACAGAAACGGTTTCCAACACATGTTTAGTGGGGATCTACTTTTCTATCGACTTGGAGGCCACAAAAAGATAGATAGATAGACAGATAGATAACAGAACCTCATGAAACCTCAAAATATCTCGAAATCTTTTGGGTACCATGTAACTACCTGTATCATTGCAGGGGCCGAGCCCTGATCCTCCGTTGGCTAGACCTGTCATGGCCGAGCCCGCGATGGCCCCGATGGCCGAGCAGAGTACCAAGACTCTGGCGATTTTGGAGTTGAAGGACGGGCGAGCCACTCCCCAAAACCAACATGGACCCTGAGCATGGAGCCTGCTTTTCTCTATAAACCAGTGGTTTTCAGGGTCCATGCTAATCTTCAGGGCGAGCTTCCTATTTTGCTTTCAGATTTATATACAGCTGGCCAATAACTCAACATGCATTGGAAAGCGTGACCCGGAAGAAGGAACTTGTTGTCACCTTGTTCTGCTCTTCACTAGACAAACCCAATATTGACACTGAAAATGGAGCCTGGTAGCAAGTAGAAAGATGTGGCAAGTCAGTCCCCTTTAGGGCCTGTGTCAGGAGAATGTGCATGACATCCGGATGATGAACATGGGTTCAAGAAAGCAGGCTTCACTGAAAGAGTTGTCTCCCCAGCCCCACCCCCCAAAAAACACGGTTCGCTAGTTGGGCGTTGCTCCCCGCAACTCCTCGCCCTGGCGCCATGGGAAGCACAGTCGCGCCGCGTCGCGGCCGGTCGCAGGATGGCCACATCGAAACCTTGGAGCGACAACTGGATTTGGTCCAGTCCAAGGTGATTGGCCTCAAGCACCTGAGTGAGTTGTTTAGTTTGAGGTTCTTTTGCGCTGAGCACCTGATGCTGCAGCCGGTCGCGTCCTTTTGTTGCGGGCCATGCGATGTGAAGGCAAAACATCCACTCACATGGCTTCATGAGGGTCACTTCTGCGCATGGAAGGGGTTGACTTCTCCTGACCTTTGCAAACCCCCCTTGGAGGGTGAGAAGCGGAAAACGCGTCACAGAAGAGGAAAAGGCTTGAACCCGAGTGACGATTAACCCCTTCTGGTAAGTTGACCCTGCTGTCTCTACTGTATTGGTTCACCAAGTTTGGAAATGCCTGTTTGAAAGGTGATGTGGACATCCATGATTATATGGAACTGAGAAGAGTTTTGGAACATAGACCGTCCAAGCTCCGGCCTTTGACCCAAGACACCGCATTTGATCGTCATGTTCCTCATCCTCAGTCTCCTCCCTTCGATGCGGACATCGTCCATGTCCTGGTCCTAGTCCTCCTCGCAGTCCACAAACCCTCTCAGGCAACACCTCCAAGAAGCCGAAGAGCGACACCACGCCGCCGAACAGCACCGCGCCGAGACGCTCCACCAGGCCGAACACGCCGCGCAGCGCGCGGCCGCCGCAGCGGCGGCGGCCGAGGAGCTTCGGAAGGACCGGCGGGCGGCGGAGGTGGTGGCAGCGCGGCTGGCTGAGAGGCTGAGAGAGTGGCCAGACACATACTGATCATACTGAGCATGGGGAGATCAGGGGAGCTTTAGGTGAAATAGTGAGGCTTTTGTTGTTGACTCTAGGGGCCAGTTGGGGTTGGGTTCTTGTTGTTGCTTACTCCAACGGGAATGTGGAAGTAGTATGAAGTAGTACATTCGGATCTCTTGCAGAAGCTCTTGCTTTCTTTGGGGATCCAAGGTTAGAGGAGGAGAGCAAAGAGAAACAGGAAGAGGCGCCCAGCAGGGAGGAGGAGGACGAGGAGGAGGAGGAGGTTGTTGCGGCAACATCAACATACCCACACAGCTATGAGATGTTTGGGTCGTATGTTAGATGTTATTTGTCCAATTAATGCTTGCTTCGAACTTCAAACTAGAATTTTTCTAGATTCCATTTTCGGATTGTTTGAGCTCGTTGAATATGTCATGTTCAATCACAAAAGGCCAAACTTGCACGCTGAGAGAGCGTGCACCGCCAACCGTCAGCAGTGCAGGTGCTTCGAGAACAGTTGGGGAAGGAAGTCTGGAGCATGGTGCAGTCTGCAGTTCAGCAGCACAGAGCCAGGCGTTCTGCACTTCATCTCTCCCCTGAGATGCCTTTGGAGAATCCAAGGTATGGAGAACAGCACTGGCTGGAGGACACTCTGTATGAAGAACAGAGTCTTGAAACATTGGCGTTCACCACAATCTTTTTGCTTCAAAAGATTGGGATAGCTAAGCAACCCCTCCCCACGCGTGGGTTTGCATGTATTTCCGCCAGTTGGACTGTCTAAATCTAAGACACACACACACGTTCAAGAAAAAACTCCCATGATGGAAGCAGGAGGGGCAGTGCTACACGGAGGAGCTGCGGAGACTTCGTGCTCAGCGGGAAGAAGTGGATGGACGAAGGAAGAAGCTAGAGAAGCTTGGCCGTGCAGATCTATTGCAAGCTGAGAGGTTAGTGGAAGGGCTTGAAGAAGAAGCCGCCCAGATGATGAAGCAGCAAGAGGAAATCTTGATGCATGAGAAGCAGAGAAAGGTCCAGAAGAGGGAGATCTACGAGGCTGAGGAGAGCTTAGAAACTCTTCACGACGAGCTCCAAGTCGCCGAAAGCTGCATGAACCATCCCTCTGAAGATCTCTTGGCCTCCTTGTTGGGGCGCCTGGGGGTGTTGACGAAGATGCAAGCCGTGCAGCAGGCGCGTCTCAGGAGCTTCCGAGTCGCACGTTCTGCGGCGGCCTCAACGGAGTCAGCGCCCACATCAACCTTGAGGAGGAGTGCTCCGCCAAGAGCGGTGCCACTGGAGAGCGGTTCTGCCCAGCCTGTTGAAGCCTCCAAGCTGCTTGAGGAGTTAGCCACGTTGCGACGGGACAATGCCGAGCAGGTCGAAAGGCGAAAAGCTTTGCAGAATTGGCAGGACCACTTGTGACCAGGTCAATTGATATTAACACCCTACGAATCAAACCTCTCTTCTGCTCGTCCTTGAGCCTATGATACACCTACCGGTCACCTAAAAACATCTAAAAACCCTTGGCCTTGATCCAACAAACCAGGAAGTGGAGTTCACCTCACTTTCCCCTCCTTTCGGCCTTGGGGTCCGGCTCTGTGTGAGCCCCCTGCTGTCGGCTCACGTTCGATCCTGCCCAGAGTCTCACCCTTGGAATCTGGGACGACATGGAACTGCGGACTACGGGCAAAAAAGGACATACAGCACTCTCCCTAAAACTAACATGGAAGTGGAAGATACCCTGTTTGTAGAGGAAAATGATCTTCAAAGAGGCCATTGTCCACTTCCATGTTAGTTCCAGGGAGTGTAGTTAGATATAGTTAGATTATCACCCTGAGGGGTGGTCAGAATGAAATGGTAGGAGCTTCCCCCGCTCTTTGTCCAAAAGTGGGTAGTCAACCCTTACAATGACCATGAAAGGGAGGGTATAGATTTCTAGATCAAGTTGCAGACATCGCATCTGCCGATTCTGCACCAGGACCTCGATGATTCCCTGGCACCATCGACGTCGCAGCGGCTCCCAGTCCTGCGGCGTGTGCCGGCGCGGCTCGTGCGCCGGTTGGCACAGCTGGTGGAATCGTCCGAGACGATTGACCTTTTGGAGTTTCAAGAGGCAGGGAGAGATTCCATCTTGGAAAAGGAAGAAGAGTGATGAAGACTCCAAGACCTCAAGTCCTTTGAACTTTGAACCAACTAATATATAGATCCGACTAGCAGCTAGCAGCTAGCAGCTGCTACTTGTGATCAGGTTTCTATGTTCCAACTTGCAAGTGACAACACCTGGGGCACTGAGGTCTTGGGACAACTGCTGGCACTCCGGAAAGAGCTCCAGCAAGAAGCCCTCGATGCCCAGTTCAGCGCCGAGCACTTCCGAAGCCGCGTTTGCTCCTTCGACCCGTCCACCGCGGCGGTGGCCAGGAGAGCTCACGACCGAGCTGCTGCAGATTCATTTCGACTCCATGAGGAAGTCATGGCCCAAATCTCCATGGAGGAAGTCTTGGGATCAGGGATAACTTTCTGTGTGTGTAATGTAGACTCTTCATTAAAAAGCCCTCCCAATTGAATTGGAGATCCTCTTCATATGGGGGGTTTATTAATCAAGAGTCTACATGATCGGTTCTTTATCGTCATGTGGGGTTTGATTGTCCCCCATCAATTTTTGGAGGCGTGGGGCTTGAATTCTGTATGAGATGTTTCTTCCTGTTTGGGTGATGGAACAGGCTGGGGGGGAAGTTGTTTGATGTGTTGCTGTATCGTTACATCACTTGGGGGGAGTCTTCTCGGTCTTTTTTGCAAGTTGTTGATCTAAGCGTTGGACATTTTGAGATATGTTCTTGGGTTTGTTCCAGGTGCCTGGCTGGCTGAAAGCTAGGGAGTGACTTGTACCATCAAACTATATATATGGTTATATACAATAATCCATCCTGAAATGGCAGTTGTTCAAGATCATGCCTGGGGGCCTGGACCATCCAAGGGGTGTCAAATGGAAGCCCTACAATCCCTGGAACAATCATGGACGAAAGTGGAGTTCACCACCTGTTTGGTATTCAGATTTCATCATCATCCAACACACCATGCCATCCACTTCCATGACTGTTCCAGGGAGTGTATCTAATAGGTAGCGGGCCCACAGGGCCCGCTGAGGTGGGACCCGGGCCACCACCCCCCAAAAACCGGGTCGCACGACGAGTGGTAATCGTAGCAGCACAAGACAGATTGGTCGACAACATTCAACAACTTCATAACTACACCGTCCGCCCCAGCCACTGCTAGGAAGCGGCCCAGTCCCATAGCTCTTTGGAGCTGGCGAAACTCAAGGCAGAGGCCTCCACTGTGGCCACAGAGCTTGGGGAGCAACGACGCCGTGGCGTGGCAGTTGGAGATGTTTTACATAATAGAAAATGATGAAATGATCCTTCTATCCAAGCCCCGGTTGTATTGGTGACTCCCTCAATCAATGAATTGATTCACTTCATTCTAGCAGTTGCCTCATGTTGCCTAGCAGTTGCCTAGCAGTTGCCTCTCATTCATCGAAGGAATCAATCCACTGATTGGACGGTCCACATGTCTCAAGGTTTGCAGCACCTCCAGCAGCAGCATCGGCTTCAGTCCTCGACCTGGGAAGTCGAGGCTGCAGCTGCGGCCGCTCGGGCCGCCGAGCGAGTGCTGCCGAGCGGCTGGCGAGATGAGGTGGTGGAGAGCGTGTGGACCATGGCACAACGAGCTGGATATGTGGCGGAAAGCTCCAGTGAGACGGAACAAGTACTGAAAGCTGCACAGGTGGAAGTGAGGGGTTGTGGCAGTGCTTCATGATGCTTCATGTATTGAAATACTTGTGGGGGGGTAAGAAAGCATGGAAAGGTCAAAGCCCTATTTTCCTGAGCTCATTTGTGAAGTCGCCATTGAAGCAACACAAACATTGCGCCCCAATCATTGTTTGTGTTTCTTTGATGTTCTTGTCATTCACCAACCACGGTCGCCTTTTTCCTTGATCAGCTCACTACTTCTCAGCACTATGGAGGTCTTGCGGATCTTGGCTTTCCAGCTGACCTCTATGGAGTTAGCCTGGTGGGTCCAACAACATCAGCTGCACTGCGACCGTTTTCTTTGCGCCAATGCGCAGCTGGCACCGACCTCCGACGCGGAGCACGCGCAGCTGGCACCGTGGCGGCAGCGCTACGCGGAGCTGGAAGAGGCAGAACGACTGAGGAGGCAGGCACTACGCTTGAACTCCGAGGTGGGGAGAGGATGAATGTGTTCCATGTGTTTCCATCAGTTGAGTTCTGTTTCTTCGAACTCGAACTCGTCCGCCCTGAAACTCTGCTTCCCGGTTGTTTCTTCAGACGGTGGGAGAGGTTTGGCAGCACGTTGGATTTAAGGCTTGTTTGAGGGGGGGGTTCGGGATGTTTCGTGGTATAGTAGGGACGGGGATGACAG